GGAATCACTATACTGTCTTCCACAATGGTTGAACTAATTTACACTCCCACCAACAGTGTAAACGTGTTCCTATTTCTCCACATCCTCTCCAGCATCTGTTGTCTCCAGATTTTTTCATGATCGCCATTCTAACTGGTGTGAGATGGTATCTCAATGTAGTTTTGATGTACATTTCTTTAATGACCAGTGATGATGAGCATTTTTTCATATGTTTGTTGGCCTCATGTATGTTTTCTTTTGTAAAGTGTCTGTTCATGTCCTTTACCCATTTTTGAATGGGCTTGTTTTTTTTCTTGTAAATCAGTTTTAGTTCTTCGTAGATTCTGGCCATCAGCCCTTTGTCAGATGAGTAGATTGCAAAAATTTTTTCCCATTCTGTTGGTTGCCGATTCAGTCTAATGACTGTTTCTTTTGCTGTGCAGAAGCCGTGGAGTTTGATTAGGTCTCATTTGTCTATTTTGGTTTTGTTGCCAATGCTTTTGGTGTTTTGGTCATGAAGTCCTTGCCTACGCCTATGTTCTGAATGGTTTTGCCTAGATTTTTTTCTAGGGTTTTTATGGTGTTAGGTCTTATGTTTAAGTCTTTAATCCATTTGGAGTTAATTTTAGTGTAAGGTGTCAGGAAGGGGTCCAGTTTCTGCTTTCTGTACATGGCTAGCCAGTTTTCCCAACACCATTTATTAAACAGGGAATCCTTTCCCCATTGCTTCTTTTTGTCAGGTTGGTCAAAGATTAGATGGTTGTAGATGTGTGGTGTTGCCTCTGAGGCCTCTGTTCTGTTCCATCAGTCTATATCTCTGTTTTGGTACCAGTACCATGCTGTTTTGATTACTGTAGCCTTGTAGTATAGTTTGAAATCTGGTAGTGTAATGCCTCCAGCTTTGTTCTTTTTGCTTAGAATTGACTTGGCTATGAGGGTTGTCTTTTGGTTCCATATGAATTTTTTTTTCAGTTCTGTGAAGAAGGTCATTGGTAGCTTGATGGGGATAGCGTTGAATCTGTAAGTTACTTTGGGCAGTATGGCCATTTTCACGACGTTGCTTCTTCCTAACCATAAGCATGGAATGTTTCTCCATCTGTTTGTGTCCTCTCTGATTTCGTTGAGCAGTGGTTTGTTGTTCTCCTTGAAGAGGTCCTTTACATTCCTTGTTAGTTGTATTCCTAGATATTTTATTCTCTTTGTAGCAATTGTGAATGCCAGTTCATTCTTGATTTGGCTCTCTTTAAGTCTGCTATTGGTGTATAGGAATGCTTGTGACTTTTGCACATTGATTTTGTATCCTGAGACTTTGCTGAAGTTGCTTCTCAGTTTTTGGAGATTTTGAGCTGAGATAATGGGGTCTTCTAAATATACAATCATGTCGTCTGCATATAGAGATAATTTGACTTCCTCCTTTCCTAATCGAATACTCTTTATTTCTTTTTCTTGCCTGATTGCTCTGGCTAGAACTTCCACTACTATATTGAATAGGAGTGGTGAGAGAGGGCATTCTTGTCTACTACCAGATTTCAATGGGAATGCTTCCAGTTTTTGCCCAATCAGTATGATATTAGCTGTTGGTTTGTTGTAAATATTTTTTATTATTTTGAGATACATTCCATCAATACCTAGTTTATTGAGGGTTTTGGCCTTCTCTGCATCCATTGAGAGTATCATGTGGTTTTTGTCTTTGGTTCTGTTTATGTGGTGAATTACTTTTATAGACTTGTGTATGTTGAACCAGCCTTGCATCCCCGGGATGAAGCCTACTTGATCATGGTGGATAAGCTTTTTGATGTGCTGTTGCAATCAGTTTGCCAGTATTTTATTGAAGATTTTTGCATCTATATTCATCATGGATATTGGCCTGAGGTTTTCTTTTCTTGAGGAGTCTCTGCTGGGTTTTGGTATCAGGATGATGTTGGTCTCATAAAATGATTTGAGAAGGATTCCCTCTTTTTTGATTGTTTGGAATAGTTTCAGAAGGAGTGGTATCAGCTCCTCTTTGTATGTCTGGTAGAATTTAGCTGTGAACCCATCTGGATCTGGGCTTTTTTCTGGTGGTAGTCTCTTAATTGCTGCCTCAACTTCTGCCCTTGTTATTGGTCTATTCAGGATTTTGACTTCTTCCTGGTTTCGGCTTGGGAGAATGCAAGTGTCCAGGAATTTATCCATTTCTTCCATGTTTACTAGTTTATGTGCATAGAGTTGTTTGTAATAATCTCTGATGATGGTTTGTATTTCTGTGGAATCTGTGGTGATATCCCCTTCATCGTTTTTTATTGCATCTATTTGATTCTTCTCTCTTTTCTTTTTTATTAATCTGGCTCGTGGCCTATTTTGTTGATCTTTTCAAAAAACCAGCTCCTGGATTTATGGATTTTTTGAAGGGTTTTTTGTGTCTATATCTCCTTCAGTTCTGCTCTGATCTTAGTTATTTCTTGTCTTCTGCTAGGTTTTGAGTTTTTTTGATCTTGCTCTTCTGCTCTTTCAATTTTGATGATAGGATGTCAATTTTAGATCTTTTCTTACTTCTCATGTGGGCATTTATTGCCATATATTTTCCTCTAGAGACTGCTTTAAATGTGTCCCAGAGATTCTGATATGTTGTGTCTTCGTTCTTGTTGGTTTCAAAAAACATCTTTATTTCTGCCTTCATTTCATTGTTTATCCAGTCAACATTGAAGATCCAGTTGTTCGGTTTCCATGAAGCTGTGCAGTTCTGAGTTAGTTTCTGAATCCTGAGTTCTAACTTGATTTCACTGTGGTCTGAGAGAGTGTTTGTTATAATTTCCATTCTTTTGCATTTGCTGAGGAGTGATTTACTTCAAATTATGTGGTCAATTTTAGAGTAGGTGTGATGTGGTGCTGAGAAGAATGTATATTCTGTGGATTTGGGGTGGAGAGTTCTCCAAATGTCTGTTAGGTTTGCTTGGTCCAGGTCTGAGTTCAAGTCCTGGATATGCTTGTTAATTTTCTGTCTCATTGATCTGTCTAGTATTGACAATGGGGTGTGAAAGTCTCCCACTATTATTGTGTGGGAGTCTAAGTCTCTTTGTAAGTCATTAAGAACTTGCTTTATGTATCTGGGTGCTCCTGTATTGGGTGCATATATATTTAGGATCATTAGCTCTTCTTGTTGCGTTGATCCTTTTACCATTATGTAATGTCCTTCTTTGTCTCTTTTGATCTTTGTTGCTTTAAAGTCTATTTTATCAGAGACTAGAACTGCAACTCCTGCTTTTTTTTTTGCTCTCCATTTGCTTGGTAAATCTTCCTCCATCCCTTTATTTTGAACCTATGTGTATTCTTGCATTTGAGATGAGTTTCCTGGATACAGCACACTGATGGGTTTTGGCTTTTTATACAATTTGCCAGTCTGTGTGTTTTGATTGGGGCATTTAGCCCATTTACATTTAGGGTTAATATTGTTATATGTGAATTTGATCCTGCCATTTTGATGCTAGCTGGATGTTTTGCCTGTTAGTTTATGCAGTTTCTTCATTGTGTCGATGCTCTTTACCATTTGGTATGTTTTTGGAGTGGCTGGTACTGGTTGTTCCTTTCGATGTTTAGTTCTTCTTTCAGGAGCTCTTGTAAAGCAGGCCTGATGGTGATGAAATCTCAGAGTACTTGCTTGTTGGTAAAGAATTTTATTTGTCCTTCACTCATGAAGCTTAGTTTGGCTGGATATGAAATTCTGGGTTGAAAGTTCTTTTCTTTAATAATGTTGAATATTGGCCCCCACTCTCTTCTGGCTTGTAGGGTTTCTGCTGTGAGTCTAATGGGCTTCCCTTTGTGGGTAACATGACCTTTCTCTCTGGCTGTCCTTAGCATTTTCGCCTTCATTTCAACCCTGGTGAATCTGACGATTATGTGCCTTCGGTTTGCTCTGCTTGAGGAATGGCGGCCCACCTCTGTGATGGTGGACTCTCTCTGTAATGGTGGGCTGCCTCAGCAATGGCGGACCACCTCCTTAGTGGTGGACTGCCTCAATAATGGTGGACGCCCCTCCCCCACAGAGCAGGATCATCCTGGGTTCAGCTGTGCTTGCTGTGAAACTCTTAATCCAGAGCATTTCAGATTGCTGTTTTTTTGTGGGGGTGGGACAAGCCGAGCCTGATCACCTGGCTCCCTGTCTCAGACCCCCTTTGTTTTCAGTTGAACAGGCAACTCTGTCTCCCAGGTGTTCGGGTTGCCTGTTGAAAATACACCAGGATCTATGTGATTTCCCTTGCGGCGACTCACTGCTCTGGCTGAAACAGCCGTGTGGAGATTTGTGGCGCTTTTTTGCCAGGGAATCTCCTGGCCTGGCTCCCTGTTTCAGTCCTCTTTTTATCAGTTGAATGGGCGACTCTGTCTTATTTAAGGGGAGCTCCTAGGAGCTCCAGTCGCTAGGTAAAACCATGACCGGACCCATGTGTTTTGTGCAGTGACCTGCTGTGCCGGCCAAAACGGGCGCACTGGTGACCCATGGGGCTCCTCTGCCTGGGAATCGCCTGGTCTTTGGGCAATAAAAATCCTTCTGGAAATACGGTGTCCACTCATCCTACGTGCTTTGGCTGGGAGCTGCAATCCTGAGCTGCTCCTAATCGGCCATCTTGGATCCGTTCCCTCTGTATTTTTATTTTTTAGGCACAGGATCTTGCTGTGTTGCCCCGGATAGCCTCTCTTAATTGTCAGACTTGAAAGTCTACCTTCTTTTTTATTTATTTTATTATCATTATTTTTTGAGACGGGGTCTTGCTGTGTCTCCCAGGCTACTAGAGTGCAGTGTTGCGATCTTGGCTCGCTACAACCTCTGCCTTCCAGGGTCAAGTGACTCTCCTGCCTCAGCTTTTTGAGTAGCTGGCGCACCACCTCACTTAGATAATTTTTGCATTTTTAGTAGAGACGGGGTTTCACCATATTGGCCAGGCTGGTCTCAGACTCCTGACTTCATGATCCACCCACCACTGCCTCTCAAAGTGCTGGGATTACAGGCATGAGCCACTGCTCCTGGCCTCTACCTTCTTTTTTAAAACAATATGGAGCAATTCATGAATTTGTGTGTCATCCTTGCACGGGGACCATGCACATCTCTCTGCCATTCCAGTTTCAGTACATGTGCTGCCTAAGTGAGCACAAAAGTCCATATCCTAGGCTCGTTCAAGTTCAGTGATGTTTAACTGATCACAGCCACATACAGATTTCTTTCTCTACTCCCACTGCTTCATTTGACTAGCCAAAGAAGTCCACATTCTTAACTTCAGCATTCAGTGTTTAAATGACAAGTGTTCTAAATGAGGACAAACCCTTGTTAAGCATTACTTTTTATGGAGGCTTGATCATCCATCAAAGAGTAGTGCCAAAATTTTGTTTACCAGTGCCTATTGTAAATATAGGTTGTTTCCCATTTACCTCCATGTTCTCTAATGTGAGAGGCAATCAGTAACACATGATGCATTCTAAGGCATACTTGCCCACTATTTATTGATTTTCACTTCCCTCCTGGACCCATGCTTCCTGGGGTAGATTGTCAGTTCAGTTACTTAACAGCTGTGTGACCTTGAGCAAGTTACTGACCCTCTGTGTACCTTCTCTCCTCTTTGGCATAATGGAGATACTAATAGGACCTCTTCCTTGGAGGGATTGAGATAGAGTCAGTATTCAGTAAGCTCTATTTTCATAATCATTTTGTTTTCTGTCTACACTGTTTTTAGCACATTCAAAATAGGGTAAGTTTCCTACACATTTCTTTTTTAGAAATTTCCTGTCAGTTCTTGCATTTCCCCCATCATAATTAACTGAACCACAGAAGGCTGGAAGAGGATTTAGATCAGCCTCATAAGAACCTCTGCTTCATCTTGAACTGCTGTCTTCTGTCCTGGGAATCCCCACCATCACTGGTGCTCCACTGAGGGAGTCCTGCCCTATCTATCCCACATCATGAAGTTGCTGGCTTGCCCTGGGGTGAATACCTTTTAGGAGACTTGTCAAATGTCTGTCTGCTTATTAGGGGGCTCATAGTTGTTGTGGATCAGTCATTTGTGCCACTTCTGTGGGCTCACGGAATTACAGAGAGCCAGTGTTCTGGGGAACACCAAGGGAGACATGTGGGCAGGAAAAGAGAAGGTTTGTCTGGTGTCCTGGGTAGAATTTTGTAGAAGGATAGCAGGAGCCTAGGGCTTGGAAGAGTGATTCATCAGCCCTTCCTTTCTGTTTGGAGTTTGAGTCCTGAGAAAGCAGATGTGGATGGGGCCAGAGAACAGGAAAACTGGATCATCCATTCAAAGTACTGCCCCAAAACATGACCTAGAAAGGATTAGGAGTGACCCCTTCTTTGGTGTGACAGCCCTGCTCAGAGCTCCAGAAGCTGTCCTTTCACAAGCTCAGAAGGGACTGGCTGCACCTCCAGGTGAAGATCGTTTTCAGAAAAAAGCCCTGCAATTCCTTCCTCTAGATCATGGTCCAGCCGTCCCAGAACAGGCTGCTCTAGTCACATGAGGTAGGTTTAGGGTCAGGGTCAGGGGTTAGGGTTAGGGTTAGGGTTAGGGTTAGGGTTAGGGTT